GGGCCGTACGTTCGGCGCAACCAGCTTGGGGGGGGGGGAGGAATGACGTATGGATGTTTATTTAATAATTCTCTCCTACTCCAGTTGAGTGGGGCGGGTGGGGCCATAAGGGGCGCCCACCCTTGTCTGGAGGGGCTGCTCATAAATCAGAAAGACAAGATCATTAATCAGGGATGGCGCCTGAAGGGGAGGTGGGGGCCAGAGCCAGTGGCCATCCATGAAGATACTATCCACCCAAGGCCATGGGGAGCCGCAGGCAGTTCTTTCCCACCTGTGTGAGCACAGGCTATAGAAGAAGGCTAGGCTCTCTGAGACAAGTTGGGGACTGGCTCACTTGTATGTAGAGGTCTGCATTAGGTCAGGATCAGCCAGGATTGGGGCCTTTCAGTTCCTGTGACCTCTGTCTTCATTCACAGAGTATGAGTTCCCACCATAGGTCTTTCACACACCAGAGAAGGGGAAAGCAGCATGTGGTGGCTTCCTTCAGAAATCTGGCCACTCCATGCTTTGGAGGGACTCGGGGATAGCTATGACATACTGAGTCAGGGGCTGAAAGATTGGGCATTTCACCAAAGCAAAGATTAGAGACCAAGTATGTACTGAGCAAACCTAGGATAAGTGGGCTCTGGAGCTGTGTCTTGGCCCTCACTGTGGCCGTGGAGTTCTTGGAGTAGGCCTGGGTTTTCTCACCTTTGAAATTCCCTTTGGTCTTGGAGAGAAAGCATAGCTCCTAGCAATGCAGACTTGGGTGGCACATAAGGCATTGGACCAAGTGCCAGGGAAGAAGGCAGTTGTGTGGGTGCTTATAAGGAAGGGGGATACAGGCTTCCTAGACAGAGCCAGAAGATTGAGTGGAAGCTCCCAGGAATCAGCCAGTACTAGAAGGAACTAGGGGCAGAGAATCGTGGACCCATAGGGTAGTAGAGCTAGAGCATCCCAGTACAGAGACACAGCTATTAAGGAATCATATCCTGTGCCGATGCTAGCACTCTAAAAGAAAAAGTTCAAAGATAAAGTTTGCTGTTGTGTTTTGTTCACCACTGCCTGCCCACATCCCCCAAGACCACTTGCATCCAGTGATGACCGACCATCTGTAGGCACTCAAGCTGGCAGAATAAACCCCCACATACCATACCTCAGTGTGGTTGCACCTGCAGTCTCTGTGCCCACCTGGCTTTGCTTCCTGATAGAATGCATCTTTTGTTGTTGTTGTTGTTTGAGTCAGGATAGTTCAGTCTGGCCTTGAACTTACTATGTAGCCCAGGATGGCTTCCAACTCTCAGCAGTCCTGTCTCAGCCTCCCAAGTGCTGGAATTACAGGTGTGTACCGCCATGCCCAGATGAATGCATCTTTTAAATCTTAGTAACTCTGTCTCTCTCTCCTTCCAATATCCAACTTCCCACTGCCCATGAGATAAACCTCAGTCCCTAAGTATGGCATTTGTCCTGCTGGACAAGTATTTCTCACTTGGTCTTCTGCCTACCAACATGTGAGCCTTCCTGCCAGTCTGGGTTCATGGGCCGCTTGGCCTTTGTTTCTATTGTTCCTGGGCCTGGAGAACCAGCTCCTTACAACCAGTGTGGAGGGATGGTTTAATCACACAACTCAGAGTTAGTCTGAGAATTAGTCTGCCATGTTAGACTCCCATCTCCCCAAATCTTCGTGAACCTTGGACAGGCAGTATAATTTTTCTTTGCTTTAGTTTCTTCACATATAAAGTGGGAATATTAGACTCTTCTCATGGGGCTTTGTGAGGTGTAAATAAGATAATTACCAATCTTTCAGTACAATCCCTGGCATTTAGTAAGTGCTTAATAAATTTTAGTTATTTTATTTGTATTACTCTCATTATTCCCTAAGGCTCATCCCCAGTACCATCATTTCTACTCTTCAGGAAACGTTTGTCTCCCTCTCTGAGCTCCCCAGGTCCTGTTAACTTGTTTTAGAAGGATGGAAGAGATCCTTGAGATTGTCCTAGGCATCTGCTCTTCAGCAGTGTGGCCAGATTTAAGAACCTTGTAGGGTCCTTGTGGCACAGGACTTAGATAACAAGCTGAGGACTGTGAGCATATAAGACAGGCCTAGGGAGAAATAACGGAGTCCTTGAGGGAGGCCAGGCCGACGGCAAAGGGATCTAGATCACATGGGACCTGTCCAGGCCCCACATCTCTCACCCTTCCCCTGGAGGATGGATGGACTGGCTCTTTCAGCAAATGTTTATTTGTGCTCACATGCCTGAAGCAGGGCTTACATCCATAGTAAATATTGGGTAAGTGAGCAGTCTGTCTGAGGAGAGAGCGGCCCTTGCAGCTAAATTAGACTGTGGGGTAGAGTTCAGTACAGGGTGCCCTTTGAGGCCCCAGCACTGGTTAGGGATAGAAAAGGTTTGAGAGGAGCTTGGACCAGGGGGAGTTTGGTAGGGCATTTCTCAGGAAAAGAAAAATGATCGGCTTTGCTTTTTAAAATATAACTTTTTCTAGGTGTTGGGAGAATGGGGCAAAGAAGAGAAATCGAAGCATTTGAAAGGCTGTCAGGCTAGTGGAGTGATCCACAGAAGAAACCCTGAGCCCCAAACTAGTAGTGGAAATGTTGGGAAGAAGTGGAATTTGAGGGTCACTGAGAAGGGATAGTTAAGAATGATTCCCAGTAAGGGAAAAGAAAAAATAGGAGAAAAGGAAAAAATGGAAACAAAGTCTTTGTAAATAGAGGAGGGGGTGAAGGGAGAGTAGGGGCATGGGGAAAAAAATGAGAACCAAGATACATGATGTAAAGGTACAAGATCCCAATGATAAATGTAACTGTGCTGTATACTTTAAAAGTACCAATAAACTCAATGAAAAAAAAAAGAATGATTCCCAGTGTGTCGTTAGAAATTCACAAGGCGGGCTGGGGATTTAGCTCCAAGTACCAATACTCAATGAAAAAAAAAGAATGATTCCCAGTGTGTCGTTAGAAATTCATCAGGCGGGCTGGGGATTTAGCTCCGTGGCACCACGCCTGCCTTGCGAGCACAAGGTCCTGAGTTCCCATCCCCAGTGCCAAAAAAAAATTCATCAGGTAGCAGTGGAGGAAGAATGAGGAGTTCAGTTCTAGAGCGTGAGGTTTGCAGCCATGGGACACTGGGGAAGGAGCAGGTGGGGATGGATGTCTAAGACATGTGCTTCTGTAATTAAGGGAAGTTTGAGCTGGAGGTTCAGATTGGGGACACCAGCGTGCTACCCAGCTGTGCATCCTCTTTACAGAATCACCGAAGATTCAACTGTGACCACATTTGAGGCTCTAAAGGCTCGAGTCAGGGAGCTTGAACGGCAGCTATCTCGGGGGGACCGTTACAAATGCCTCATCTGTATGGTGAGTAGGATGGAACCACTGGGTGCCCTTGAGCAGATTGGAGAGGGTCTCTGCGCTGTGATCTGGGCTCTTCAGTGGGTGGGTCTGGCTTGGTGACCCCTTTTCTTCCCACCTCCTCTCTAGGACTCGTACTCGATGCCCCTAACGTCAATCCAGTGTTGGCACGTGCACTGCGAGGAGTGCTGGCTGCGGACCTTGGTGAGGTGGTGTGGAGTTCGGGGAGTGGCTGGCTGCTTTGGGCACTGTCCAGATGTCAGTGTTTGTGTCTCCTTGGAGGAGATATGGAGTGAGGAGCAAGGAAGAATGGGCGCGAAGAACAGAGCCAGAACCAGAGTATTTGTCCCCCGACCCAAGCTCACTACATTCTCTCCCCGTCACAGATCTGTTAAATCCTCCCTACCCCCACCCCCAGAAGGCTCAGTGCACCACATGTATTGGTGAGACCCCGGGTCAGGAGGCGGCGGCTGTGGGTAAGCAGGACCAAGGCCTCGGCCCCTCCCCCTCCCATTACTAAGCTCCTTCTGCTCCTGCCCCGTTCTTCGTTCTTCGCTTGGGAGCAGCCATTAAAATGTCGCCCGGAGACAGCAATAAAAGGCCCGGACGTGGGCTCTGTGTCCTGATCAAAAGCTGCGTGTAATCTTGTTAGGGCCGCGGCAGCCACAGCTGGACCCAGCCTTGTTCTCATTACCGGGGCTCCCGCTGCGGGGCTGGCCAGGCGGTTTGATCCTGGCGGCCCCCAACACAGGAGCATGCCTGCCTGCTCAGAGGCGGCCCTTGCCTCTCCGGCCTGGCTGACGGCACCATGAGCCCAGCACACAGGAGTGCAGAGACAGCTGCAGGCCCTGCTGTTCACATGGATGTGCCGTGTTGTGCTGTTGTATTTAACCAGACCCCCTTCCTTCTCCCCACAGGGGGCCAAGAAGCTCTGCCCACAGTGTAACACAATCACAGCACCCGGAGACCTACGGAGGATCTACTTGTGAGCCAGCCACCCAGGCAGGCCTTGCCTTGAGCAGCCCTACCTGCCCCGAGCCTCTGTGTGACAGTGACCCTCTCCCCTTGTACATACTTGCACACAGGTTCCCCATGTACATACATGCACGTACACAGGACTGTGGAGGCTGAGGCCCAGGCCCCACCTGTTGGCTCCCACCAAACTTGGCATCCAGATCTGTTCCAGCCTCTGCTCCCAGGATGGGGCAGGGAGGTGACGGCCAGGAGTAGTGGGACAAGACTCCTGAGATCCAGCTCCCAGACTGACAGACAGACACGCAAACACCAGACTGAAGCACATGTAATATAGACTGTGTATGTTTACAATGTTGTGTATAAATGGGACAACTCCTTCTTCCTCTGGCCCTCTCCTTCAGTTGTATGATTTTCTTCTTTTTTTAAGGAACCTCTGCAAGCAGTGCCTCCCTCGGGGCTGGTTGGGGGCTCGGCCCATCCACCTCTTGGGTTGCCTGCCTCCGCCTCTCCCTCTCCCGTGTGCTCAGTGTTCGGTGGTGTATATTTCTTCTCCCAGACATGGGGCACCTGCCCCGAGGGACATGATCTCCTTAGTCTTAGCTCATGGGGCTTTTCAGGAGGAGTTGGGATGGGGCAGGAACTAGGACCCACGCCTGAAGCAGAGGCTGAGGTCTGGGCTGGCTGAGGCTGCACCTGGGTGCCCATCCTTTTGCTAAGAACCATTCCTGGAAGTGCAGCTGCTGTTCCCAGGGGAAAGTTGTCTCCCTGCCCCTCCTGTGCGCCCCATGGTGTGATGCTGTGTCTGTATATTCTATACAAAGGTACTTGTCCTTTCCCTTTGTAAACTACATTTGACATGGATTAAACCAATGTAAACAGCTGCTGCCTGCGTATATATGTTGGGGGAGTGGGGGATGATAGCCGGGGAATGGACTGAGGCAGATAGAGGGTTAACTCGGGGGAGCAGTGTGGAGGGAAGGACTTTGCTATAGGTGTGTGAAGCCCCAGCAGAGTTGGTCTGCTCAGGGGCCCTGGAGCATTCTGGCTGGGATGGGGGTAGGGCCTAGGATCTGGGCTCTTGGCTATTGATGGGTAGGGGCTCTAGGTTAATTCCTTATTGATGCAGAATCGTCAGCTCATTAATCACAGAAGAGGTCAGAGCTTGGGGGTACAGAGGGGATACAAGTTCTATCCCCCTGACCTAAGTCCGGAGCAGCTGCAAGCTTGGGTGAAAACAAGCCTTAGCCTATCCCTTTCTGGCCCCTTGAAATGTGCCAGGGATCACAACGGATCACCATCAGCTTCCCAGGTTTTTATTATTGTCCTAATGCCAGCAGCCCAAGGTAGCTAGTGCCTGTCCTCCCTCCAGTGGAAACAAACTTCTATCTACAGTGGACCCCCCAAGTTAGGGGCTGCAGCTGGGCCACTGGCACTAGAAACGGAGAGCTTTGCTGGTCATTCCACAGCTCCCCACTGCCAGTGAGGCAGATCAGCAACCAATGGGCCAGGTGCCAAAGCTGCACAACTCAGAAATACGTGAGAAAATTAGATTCCGCTAAAAGGGAAGGGTTCAAGAGTCCATGACTCCAAACTATTTGACACATTCTCAGCCACACCCACCCCAATCTTCCCACATCCCTGCCTCTGACACCCACTTCTGGGATGCCCATAATGGGTCCTACCAAAGTCAGTCTAGTTTGCTCCTGCCTCTACACCCGGAGGCACAGAAGACAAGCAGTCCATGGTTGGAGCCCAGCAAAGGCCTTGCACAGCCCGATCCCCAATTTGGTGGCACTCAATGCCCTGAAGATCTGTATCTTGGGGCCTGAGATCACAAGGAATTCATGTGACCTCTGTCGTGAAGTTCAGTGATGGCTGAGGATCTGGGAAAGGGCCAGGTGTGGAAGCCTGGGAGGAAGTGAAGGCAGTGGAGATGAAGGGGTTCATAATTCTCAGTTTGTCCGGCTGTCTTTTTATGTGTCTACCATCTCCTCTCTGCCTTGGGCTCTAGGGCCTCGATGGCTGGTTATTCCCATCCTAGGGGCCATATGTACTCTAATAGGATACATTAACCCAGAGTGAGGGCATTTTGAAGCCTGCCCCCGCTGTGGGAACCCTTGAGCTGTCTCATGGCATGGGCAGCACTGCCACCTGTTGGCCAGGATTGAGAATGCAGACACAGAAGGAGGCGTCCCAAAGGGCTGATGCACTACAGATGGAGCTTGGCTCGGGGGACAGGGAGTCCATCACCCCTGAGAATATCAGGGCTTGGGTCCCACTCAGATTTCTAGCCATCTTCACTGCCTGCCATAGTTTCAAAACCTACCCTGGCTCCAAGTAAGTTCCAAGTATTTATTAAATACCTACAACGTGCCAGTACTGTACAACAATGACTTGCAGAATAATAGTTTATAAGCTCCTACTGCCTAGAGAGTATCAAGGAGATGTAGATGTTTGCTATTTCAACCCAAAATCCCCTTAATCTGGTTCTGGTCTTAAAGGTGGCAGGGTTAATTCATTGTAGCTCCCATTACAGCACAGCTGCCTTCCTGCTCCCCAGTCCACCTGCCCCTCCCTGACACAGCTTGCAACTTTCCCAGACCCAGTAGACTCTGAGCTAAGTGTGGTGGAGTTTGGCAAGCCCTGAACCCCTGCAGCCTCAGCTTCTCATCTGGCATCTACCACAGGATCCAGCTCCAGGAGGTCAAAGGAACCTCCTCTGAGTGAATGAGCACGTGAAATCCACAGGGACAATGCTTACGTAATGAGGGTTTGCCCTACTGGAGCAGAGACCACAGTTCCTCCCCTGCCCTCTGGAACCTCACCATAAAGCTGAACTTCCATTCAGGAAATGGAAACTAGCCACAGGTATAAAGTTTCAGTTATGCAAGATGATTAAGTTCGTGAGAACTGCTACACAACACTGCGCTTATAGTGTGTGCTTGGATTTTTCCCCCCTAGGGATAAAACCCAGAGCCTTTGCACTGAGCTATATCCCCACACCTTATTGTTTTTTGCTCAGGTTGGGCATTAATTTGTAATCCTCTCACCTCAGCCTCCCATAGTGCTGAGATTACAGGCATGTGCCATGACACCCAGTTTACACTTGGATTTTTAAGACCATAGATACCATGAGTTCTTACCACATTGTTTTTTTTAAAAATCAATTCAAATTTATCCTTAACCTTCTCCTGGATTTTTTAACCTTTTATAGCCTGAAAGTCACAGGAACCTGCAGCCTAACTACTGTACTTATCCAAACAACTAAGACTGCCACAGAAACCCACTCAGGCATTCCCACCTCTAGGATCCTAGGTAAGCAGAACACCAGCATGCCCCCAGGACAGATGTAGCTGAGGAAGCTGTCAGGCATTTATTTCTGGAGCAGGACCTCAGGACTGGACACAGTTGTGCATGAAGTCGACACAGAGGCTCGAGTAGTAAGTAGGGTAGTCACGGAGGTGGCTGACATGTGCAGACGACACAAAGTCCACAGAACGCACCAGGACCTGGTGGGCCATGCGCACCTCCACCATGCGTTCCACATCCCTGGCCTGGACTACCTCATCAGCCCTCGAGTAGAGGTAGAGCTCAGGCCAGAGGGAGCTTGCATCCTGTAGCCTGTGATAAAAGTGGGTGTGGAAGAGGGCAGTGAGTGGTGCAAGCAGGATGTGGAACAGGACTGCCACCAGAGCGAAGGCCACCTGAAGCAACAGGCGCAGCATGGCAGGTCGGTGCTCCAGGATGACTGATAGGGCCCGTAGAGCCCCTACTAGGTTGCTATCACCAGGACCACTGTCAAAGATGGCACCCACCACACGCAGGTGGCAGAAGCGCCCGTGCGTCTGCAGGAGCTCGAGCACATAGCGGTACACCATGGCACCAGCGTTGCTGAACACATGGAAAAGTAGGGGCTTCCTCTCAATCTCGTAATCAAAGAGCAGCTCAAGCAGCTTCTGGGCCAACACACGAAGTGAAGGGATTCCCAGGGACTCAGAGAAGAAGACCATGTGCCATGGGGCCGTGTATCGGATCACGATGCAGCCCTGGGGAGAGGAGAGAGGACTAGTCAGTCCCCAGGGATGCTGGGGTGAGGCGGGTACAAGCTAAGTCCCAGGGGCCCAACAAGCCCAACTTCCACGGCGCCCACAGAGTCCGACAATGCTTCAGGCCCTGCTTCTACCAGGGGCCAGCCCACTACTCACTGATACCGGTGCCCTTCCAGAGTGGAAGATATACTCAGGGCCCGCTGTTGGGCTCACTGCTTCATGCTGGCCACACCCCTCAGCCTGGAAGGTATTTGAGGCCTAGACTGGGAGCATGTTTTGGAGACATCTGGATTGACCAGGAGACTTCACACAGTTTTCCACACCTCCCCTCCCCACACCTCCACCCCAGACCCTGCACATGTGAGGCCAGGCTGCTTGGCTACTGCCGCAGTGACTCTACCCTCACTGTCACTAACCTCCCAGACACTAGTAGGTATCTCCATGAAACCAACACCAGGAGGGGAACCTGCAGGCCACAGCTTGACTGCCAGAGGCCACTGCTGAGCCAAGGCCACCTCCTATCCACCTCTGGTCACTTCTGAGGCCCCATTTCTTCCCTAGGCATGGATACTGTCAGTATTCAGAGGCCTGACCCCCAACTCTTTCTGGTTCCCAAGTCTACAATCACTCTTCACACTCACCTTAGAATTCCAAATACAGTAAATATTGTTGTTTCTCAGATTCTAAAATCTAAACCCAAACTCTCTTTAGGCTAGTCCCCAGGCCAAGTACACCCCATAACCTTCAGAAGGGTCCCTTTCTAGATAGAAAAGGAAGAAAAAGCTACCTTGCCTGGGTCCTAAGCCCCTCTCTTTACCCTGTTCTAGAGCTAAGTACCCTTTGTCGGGGGAAATCTGAGGTGATAAGGCTCTGGGGTCAGACAGGTATGGCTTTAATTTCTGGTCCTACCACTTAGTAACAACATGGACAAACAGCAATTTGCTGCTTCTTTCTGAGTTTGCATTCCCGTCTATAATTTGGATAGCAACCATCCCATAAGGTTACAGTAGAAATTAAATGGAAAAAAATGTATCTCAAGTGACCAAAGCAGCACCCAGTACAAAGTAAAACTCTCAACCAATAAATAGTAGGGGTGATCAGTTATAGCAGCAACAACAAGCAGAAAATTATAGTTCCTGAATGACCTACAGCCCAACACGATGGTCAGCTGAGGCACCTGCCATAGCCCCCTGACTTACCAGGCCCTGTAGCTCCAGAGACTCTGAGGAAGGGATATCACATAAGGTCACGCACATTCCTAAAGGGTCAAGCCTTTCAGTCCCCACTGCACTTTTCTTCAGGCAGCACTTGAGATTATACACTCTTAGAAATACTCCCTTGTAGCCCAGTCTCTTTAGTAAGTCAAAAAAAAGAAACTTTTAATCATGAGAAAAGGGGCTTAAGGAACAAAAGAACCAGATGCAATGCATAATCTTAGCTTGGCTCCTAGTTTGAGCAAATCGGCTATAAAGGACGCTTTGGGGACAATTTAGGCATCTCAACATGGACTAGGAAACTAGATGAGATGAAAATTTATTACCATGAGACGGCGGAGATCATGATTTAAAAAGAAAAGGCTACAAACCAGTATGCTCAATAGATCTTCTTTAGGCAAAGAGAAGATACATACATGAAGAACCTGGAAGGTGACACCTACCCTAAGGTGTAAGCAGAAGTCAGGTCTGGGTGGGATAATATAGCATTTTTGTTTTCTTTGAAATAATGAAGTACTGGAGCTTAGGGCTACAGGTGTTTTTCTGCCCCCCAACCCACCCTTCCCAGGAGTCCCAGCCTCCTCCTTTCCAAGGCCGCCCTCTACCAACCCTGCAACTTCAGCCCCTCTGCCTTCCCCGAGACCTTGCTCCATCCGCTTTCTCCCCAGTGCCTTCTGCCTGTATCACACCTTCACTCCCTTCCTCTGTGATGACTAATTTCCCAGTCTCTTTCTGTGGATTCTGTCACACACTCCAGAGTTTTCCTGTGTGGCCCTGGCCATACTTCTTTTCCTCATAGAATTCCCTTCATCTTCCTAGTGTGGGTTTCTCGGGACCATATCAGGCCCACTTCTTTCTCTTTCCACGTTCTCTGGGGATCTCATCTGCCCTAGAACCTATGGATTTGCTTCAGATGCTCCTGTCTCAAAAACACCCCCTCTAGGGGCCAGGGATGTAGCTCAATGGCACAGTGCCTGCCTGGCAAGTGTGAAGCCCTGAATTCGATTCCCTGTACCCCCCCCCAAAAAAAAACCCAAAACAAAAAGAAACTCTCTACCCAGAAAGTGCCCAAGGCAGAAACCCAAAACAAAAAAAAAAAACTGTCTCTACCCAGAAAGTGCCCAAGGCAGAAACCAGGCATGACCCTGGACTCCTCCGTGTGCCCATTCCAATCTCTCATTAACCTACTATTCTACATCCCAAAAATCTCCTCTATCCAGCACCTCCTTCCACCTATATTATCACCCAAAGGTCCTGACCCTCCCCTGCCTGAGTCACCGCAAGCCCCTGCCAACTTGATCTGGCTCCCAGCACCCCCACACCCTCCCCTACTCCACAGTGAGGGGCTTTCCGGATGGCAAATACAACATCACACCCCTGTACAAATCCCCTCAGCGCCCCCACCCAGGCTGACTCTAGACACACTTTCTTGCCTTCTCTGTTCTAGGCACACTCAACGATTCCTACTCCTCCTACCCTCAAGGATCTTAGTCTAATGCAGAAGCCAGAAGAACAAGTCCAGCCAGTGGGTGGAATTCAGAAGGTAAAACTATCTGTAGAGTGAGGAAATCTGCAAAAGACAACACCAGAGGACCAACTTATTGGTCTGAGAAGGCTACAAACTCAAAACTACATTTCTGCCCGATACAGTGGCACATGCCCATAATCCCCAGATACTGAGGAGGCTGAAGCAGGAAGACTGAGTTGGAGGTAACCCTGGACAAATTAACAACTTAAGTGAGACACTCTTAAAATTAAAAAAGGCCTAGGGAGGGTAGAGGATTTAGCTCAGTGGTGCCACCACCTGCCTCACAAGTGCAAGGACCCAAGTTTGATCCCGGGTACCAAAAGGCGGGGTGGGGGCTAGGGAAGTAGCTCAGTGGGATCACTTGCCTACTACAGGTCCAATTCCTAGTATCACACACACACAAAAAAAAAACTCTACTTTTCTCCCCCAACCCTTCTCTCATTCCAGGACCTCCACACACTGTGGGCAGAATACAGACATGGGCCAGTGAAGGGAGGCTGAGGAAGGAGGCACTGGCTGGCCTTTCTCCCAGGTGAGATCCACTGCTCAGCCTGGGGCTTCTAGCTAGCAGCTGGGGCTGTCTACAATGGTTCCCCTGCCAGGGAGATCTGGCCTGAGAAGGGCATGGCAGGGAAGAGCAAAGCCAGAGGCCAAGGTTATAAAAGAAGCCTCCAAAATACAACCAGGCCCTCTGATAGCTCTCCCCAAGTACCATTACCTACATATCCAATTCTTGGTGCAGCTTAAAAAAAAGATGACTCCTCTCCAAGAGGCCCTATGACTCTGGGCATGTTAAAGGTGCCCTGGTCAGTCCTGAATCAGAAACTTACCTAGTCAGAAAAAGAGGAAGTCCAGGAATATAAAACACCAGAAAGGGAGGAAGGGGAAGCAGGTGGGGGAACTGAGGGCCACACTGAGACACAGAGCTGGCAGCAAAGACAGATAACCCTGCCAAAGTCCCCACGACCCCATGGTCTTCCTCAGAAGCTACTCTGGACTCTATTCCTAGGCCTGCCAGAGGTCAGCCTTCACTGCAGCTCCGAGATAAGGCAGTCAGAGGCTCAGAGTTGCCTGCAAAGGTGTCAGGGTAACCACTGCTAGGAGTACTCACCCTTTTATAGTAGATGGCGCTGTACTTGGCAAGATTCTTGTCCCTGCAGCCACCCCAGCCCAAGAGAATCACCACAGGCTGCCGCGTCCTTGCTTCCTTCCCACCTTGGCCGGGGCTGTCCTCTGCAACACAGACGTGACAGTCAACATGAGAGGTAGGATGGGGCTCTGGCCAACCCAGAGCAGGCACCACAGTGTCTGGAGGCAGGGAACGAAGAGCACTAGGCCCAGGCCTCCCCCGGCAGCTGTGCCCCAGGTTCCCACAGGACTCCTGCCTTTGTCCTTCTGCCCCAACTGCCTTTGCAGATCTCTCAGGAGGCATTGTAGTAACACTGGAAAACCCACATGAGGGCACCTTTCCTTAGCTGCACAAAAATAGTCCAGGAGGGCAAAGTGAATATTTTCTCCAGGCAACTTCCCCCAACCCAGGGGTCAATGCGGGGTCAACCATGACCCATGGGCCCAATGAGGCCCAGTACCTGTTTCTGTATGGCCTATGCACTAAAATGGCCTTAACATTTTAAATAGTTTCAAAAAGAATAATAATAGTTTTGCAATATATGAAAAGCTATATGAAATGTAAATGTGTGTGCCCACAAATAAAGATTTACTGGAACACATCCATGCCTGTCTACTTTATTTATTGCCTATGGTTACTATCACACTAAACCCAGCAGCACTGAGTAGTTCAACAGAGGCCAACATGGCTCATGTAGCCTAAAATATTACTAACCCTTTACAGAAAAGTTTGCCAGCCTCAGTTCTAATTCCATGAACAGATGTAGGAAGAAGGTCTTAGGAGGAGAAACAGAGAGGACAGTATAAGCAGAGACGTGAGAGACTTGACTCTGACCCATACTAAGCCTCCTATCCTGTCCCATCAGAAAATAACACAACCAAAAAAATAAAAAAGAAAAGAAAGAAAACAACACAGCCTATATATACTGAGGTTTAACCTTCTAACACTAATAGGCAGGTACTCTTACTCTGGATGAGGAAACTGAGGCAGGCTGAGGTTAAAGGGCTCGCTGCCAGTCACAGAGTTTGGGAATGACCCATGCTTCCCGCCCTAAGCTCTGTTGTCCTTCTGGGGCCCAGTCCACAGCTGGAAGCATGGCTCCTTCAGTGATGTGCAGAGAGGCTCAAGCCCAAGGCCTCTACCACGGCTGCTTTTCAAGAGGCCTCCCTGCAACCTCCTACAACAGATGTCATCTCACTCCCCCGAGAAGTGAATGGCCACCCACCTGGGGACATCTGTGCAAGCACCGTCTACACCTAGACGTCTGCTCTCCCAAAAGAGCCGGTACACACCTTTCCAAGGACCAAGCCACTTGGCCATTCTCAGCTGCCACCCTGAAATTTATGGATAACGGTAGTGACCTGGCAACAGTAAATTTCCAGGCTAGTTAAGAGGATGGTAAATATAAATCACTACCCTCTAGACAAAAGGAAGACAATTTCCTGTGAAAATTAATGTGATTGAAAAGTTCAATGTTCTTGCTCCCTCGTAGCAGGGACTCTGGCCTTCAGAGATTAACTGCCTGCACACACGGGGATCCTAGGCCAGTTACAACTCAGCCTAGAGCAGGAGCTGCCAGGGCCTCAGTCCCTCACCAACACCTGCCAGCTCTTCAGCCTGTACTGACACTGGCCTTGGCCTGCATCTAACTTGGTGGTGTCAAATGTTCTCATCACCTTTCTCAGCCTTCGTCTCCCTGTCTTCCTCTTCGCCTGCCCCCACCTTTCTAGGGAAGAGGCAATATCAGCCCAACCTTGCCTGCCTCAAAGCTCAGGCTGAGGTAGTCAACTATATAGCTGCTGTTTGGATCTACTGAACTTGAGGTGCACTGGATTCCTGAGAGCTGCGATCAGGCTCTCTCGCCTCTCTGTGCAGCTATCTGAGAATAGGCTCCCCTCCCCCAGCCAACGGGAGCCCTCCCAATGTCCCCCACTGAGATACCAGCAAAGGGCTTTGGGATTTCTCAAATACACAGCAGGCTGCCAAGGGAGGTCACACTTATTAGTAGCTGCAGAATGACAGTGCCAGTCCCATGAGCAGAGATGGGGCATTCCCAATCCCAGAAGGTTAAAACATTCTAATCGGTCTCCAAAATTGCCCTTCTTTCCAATCTGTAACCCTGCTTTGCACCAGATTTGCCTGGTTTTGCTGGCATCTTTGGCAGAAATAACTTTCTATCAGAAAAGCATCTCCATGAAGACTGGTATCTCAGGCATGCTGCAAACTCCCAGGGCCCACTTTCCCTAACTGACATTCTCAAAGGGGAAGAACACATCCATCCACTCTCCAGTCAGGCAGTGGAGGTCACTCTTGGGCCAAAGGTCCTCTTCCTGCCATGGGAACCTCCCACTCCCTTTCCACGTGCCCTTCCCAATGCCCTGCTCTTCACTCTGCATTCCTAACTCACGCCCTGACACCCCTTCCCCCTGCCGGGGCCTGATTCTATGTTGCAGTGCTAGAATCCCAGAAAACCCATTGTGCCATGGGGAAATGACAGTGACCAGGAAAGGTTTCCCAAAGGAAGACACATTTGCTGCAGTGGAGGGCATGAGCAGAGAAGGAAGGGCGCAGAAGAGATGTCATAGTCCATCTGGGGTACAGCAAGGAGTGCTGAGGGTGTTAGAGCCTGGCCCAAAGAAGATATGGCAATGGGCAGAAAGACTTCTGAGAGCAGAATTGGAGGCTGGTACAGTGGCCTATAATCCCAGCTACTTGGAAGGCTGAAGCGGGAAGATCACAAGTTCAAGACCAGCCTGGGCCACTTTGTGAGACCTTGTCTCAAAATAAAGTAAAAAGGGCTTGGGGATATGGGTCAAGAGTAGAGCACTTAGGGCCGGGGATTTAGCTCAGTGGTTCTGCCACTTGCTTTGCCAAAACAAGGTCCCAAGTTTGATCCCTGGTACCAAAAAACAAAAACAAAAAAGAGTAGAGCACTTGCCTAGAATATGTAAGGCCCTGGGTTCAATCCCCAGTACTGAAGCAATACTGATTCCCTGTTTAGTAGTCAGGGTTTTAAACCACAGGAGTGGAGAATGAATGAAGATTTTGAAATGGAAAAGTGGCAAGATGCAATCAGGACTAACCAATGACTCACACAATTATCTGTTTAACTTCGGTCTCTCTCCCCTGACCCAGCAGGTTCTGTGAAGGTAGCAAGCAGGGTCTGTCATGTTTATCATGGCATTCCTAGTGGCCCACCTGGGTGGGCACTCAGTCACTGTGTGCTGAGTGAATAAACACATGGTGGCAAAGTGAAGGATGGATCTAAGGAGAAAGCGCTGGCACCTTGTTCCCCACCGCCCTTTCCAGAGTAATAAAAGTAACTGCTGTGGCTACCGTTATGGGCTGCCACATCCAGACCCTGGTTCCTGGCCCTCTTGCACAGCCCCAGCTCCTCTCTTGCCAACCCAGTGGCCACATCACCTTCCCCCCTCTTGCTGCTAACTCACAGCCTCTGGTGACTATGCTGCAATCACCGAAGACTTTGGTCCCTGGCTCAGGCTCCTACTCTGTTCCAAGACTTACCGTGACCCAGAGCAAACAACCATGTACAAGCACACTTTGTACCTAAACTATTGCACGTTTGTCTCAATAAAGAAAAAAAGAATAATAGAGTATTATTTGTCAAGTGCTATCCTAAGTTTAATCTTCACAACCCTGTGAATAAGGAGCTATTATTCTAATTTTACAGATGAAAAATAGAGACAAAGAGATAGCAAGTTACATAGAAAAGGTTATGCATCTAGTAAGCAGTTAAATTGGAATCCAAATTCAGGTATCTTAATTGTAAAGATCAGCTTGAGATGGGCATGGTGGCATACAACTGTTAATCCCAGCATTTGGGAGGCTGAGGCAGGAGGACTGCCACCAAGTTGAGGTCAATCTGGGCTACACAGTAAGTTGAAGGCCAGCCTGAACTACATAGTGAGACCCTGCTTTTGGGGGTGGCTGAGTCTAGAGTGTATGATGCTGGGATTAAAGATGTGATGCTGGGCCGGGGACTTAGCTCAGTGGTGTTGCTGCCTGCCTTGCAAGTGGAAGGTCCAGAGTCCAATCCCCAGTACAAAAAAAAAAAAAAAAAAAGATGTGATGTTGGAATTGATTCATGGTATGATGCTAGGATTAAGGGTGACCCATCCTGGGTGTGAGTGTTACCTGCCCAAAAGGTAAGTAGCATGGATAGAATATATTGGATAGAAAGGAGGCTCCTGTGGTCACTGTTTATCACTTGCTGCTTGCTGTTTTTGTGCCTTCTACCTGCCATGAACTGTTTCTCCTCTTCTATGCCCTGTGCCACACCACTCTGCCTTGTAGCCAGCCATCTATGGACTGAAGCCTCTACAAACTGTGTGCCAGGTAAACCTTTTCTCCTTTAACTTGGGTATCAGGTGTTTTTTGTCTCAGCAAGGAGAAAAGTAAGACACCTGGTGATATATCTGTAAGTAGAATGTCTGGGTCAAATAGAAACTATGTTTAAAACCTTATGTTCAATCCCTAGTACCATTAAAAAGTCTCAAAAACACATAACTTTTGACTTAGTAACTCCACTTCTACAAAAAATGTTAGATCATATAGAAATATTCCATAAAACATTAAGCAGATCATAGACATAAATGTAAAAGCTAAAACTATAAATCTCAGAAAAAAAACAGTAAATCTTTGTAACCTTGAATTAGGCAATAGTTTGTTAAATGTGACATCAAGAAAGCAAGGAATAACAAATAAAACTGATAAAATAGGATTTCAACAAAGTTAAACAACTTTTGTACTTCAAAAAGAACCATTATAATTCTAGCACTCTGAAAAGTGAAGGCAGGAAAATTGAAAAAAATTGAAAGTTCAAGTCCAACCTGGGTAATCTACCAACCCTGTTTCAAAATAAAAATGATTTGGGGATGTAGCTCAGCACAAAAGCCCCGGGGATGTTGGCCAGCAGATCTGATGGAGCACACCTGTAATCCAACACATAGCACTTGGAAGGCTGAGGCTGGGCCACACAGAGAGTTCAGGGTCAGCCCTGAGTATGTTGCAAAACCCTGTCAGAAGAAAGAAAGAGGGGTGGGGGAGAGAAAGAAAGACAGGGTGAAGGGAAAAGAAAAGAGTT